TATAAAAGTTTACATATGTTTCAAAAGTAAATTGTACAAGTGTGATACATAGTATATATGAACAAAATGAGATGAGTCTTCGACGCACTCCATCTTCGCCAATAGTGATCGTCGGGTACCTGTCTAATGTGGACCTGAGAATACAAGCGGTTTGAAAATCAGCATAAAGCTGGTCAGTTCATAAGCAGTTTGTTTTTATGAAAATGCACGAGTTCCTTTGGTTTCCTGAAAAAGCTGTTATCCAAGAAAATCTCATATTTCCTTAAGAGTAATGTTTACCAAATCCAAATTGTAAGGTAAAAGATGTACACTGAAAACATGATTGTTCTTGTAAATTGTAAAGTTTAGTTATCTAACTTATTACACTTTTCTGGTTACCTACTACTGTTACTCTGGAAAATCCTATATTTTCCTACATGTGTGTGTGTGAACTATTACCGATTCCGATTATGTTCAATGTTATCCACAGGAAAACCCCATGTTTTCCTTAATGTGAGTGAAGTCCCCTAAAAGTTCGATTATCCTTAAATGTACATTAGTATTATTACGTACATAAAACTAATAAATAAGTGTAAAGTGTTAATAATCTTGATTGCGAGTCCTTAACCATACTTCAGACTAGATATGACTTAGGTCGTGGTCAATATCCTTTTTATGACTTTCGTCACCCTTGAACCTTTCAGTTCGGCTGTAGCTAGCATCCAGGTGCGAGATTGTCAGTCCAGTATAGATCAATACACTCAAGTCACGCTCTCCTCTGTTCGGAGATTCTGGTTACAGGGGTAGTCCTCCACTCTCTCGTGCCAAGGAAGTGTTACAGAGGACGTGTCTCCAATCTTTAAGATATCCCTTTACTTCTCGTGCCTAGGGAAGTAGTATCTATGACTATCTAAGTTATAATGAATCATGTCCTTTACACTCGAGCCTAGGTGTTTTATTAAGGACATTACAAATATTTTATGTTTTCTCATGGAGTCTGTCCTTTACACTCGAGCCTAGGGTGTTTTATTAAAGACATTACATATGTGTTATGTTTTCTAATGGTGTCTGTCCTTTACACTCGAGCCTAGGGTGTTTTATTAAAAACATTACATATGTGTTATGTTTTCTATCAATATAAGTGTGAACAATCAATTGTGAAACATTACAATATATAATAATAAGAATGGAAATCGTTTGAACAAACAACTCTGCAAGTTAAAACAGTTTGTTAGTGGGTTTTCAATTCTTAATAGTATGCGAATTATGAAACCATTTAAAATGAAATAATAAATTTAAGTACAAGATATCCTTGTACTTTTTCTTGTATTCCCCCCCTGAAAACATTTCAAAACCATTGAAGAAAGGGTAGGGGTATGAACTCACCGGTTGAGAAATGCGTAAGTTTGGATCTTAAACGTTAGTTCTGAGTTCGCGAACGCACATGATTCCTATGGATTATGAAATGATATACAAATATATCTAATTAGATTTATAAACTCTAATTAGATATGATAATACACTCCAATGAGCGAAAACACTTCAAAACGAGTGTTTGGAGTGATGCGGGTGACATCTACAGACGTGTAAAGATGCGAGGGACTTGGAATTTGAGTTTACTCTTCAAGAGTAAACTTCCTAATGAGTTTTCGGCCTCTTATACCATAGTCACATGAGTTCACGGCCATGAACTCATGTTTAGGTGTTTTATGGTGCTAAAATGGTCAATATCACTTGGGAAGAGTTGGTACAATTTTATCTAAGGCATGGGATGGAAATTAAATCACCAATGACATTATTTAAGGGAGTTTACGGCCCTAAACATGGAGTTTACGGCCGTAAACTCCTATACCCCCTTAAATTGATGATTTAATGGCTTTAGATTAATCACATGTGATTCTAACTAATTTTCCAAGCCTTGGTATGGATTTAGGGCATCAATTGACACAACTTTAGGAATTTACGGCCCTGGAACATATTCTTGGGGTTTCATGGCCGTAAACACCTAATTGGAGGGTGTTTGACATGTTTAAGGTCCCCAAACTATTTTTAGATGATTCTAGGATTTATTCCAAGGCTTTTGGTGGAGTTACAAGGCATTCTATCATGTTTAAATGAGTTTACTCTCCATGTTTGATGTGTTTACAGCCCAAGCACATTCCTTGGCCATAAACTCATGTTTGTTCCTCAAAATCCATGTCTAGGGTGCTCTACGTCCGGGTTTGTAAGCCTTAAGGTCATATCTAAGTCCCAATGTTGGTTTGGAAGGGTTAAAGTGCTTAAAAACCCCATTATTATGTGTTTACGGCCCAAGCATGGTCCTTGGTCGTAAACACATGTTCCAGGTCCAAAAAAATAAGTTAAACACGGATTTGAAGGCCTAGGAGGTTGAATAACAAGTTAGGAAGGTTACCTCTATGATTTGGAGCCTTAATTCATTGATTTTGGACCTAAATCTTGGATGGGGAGAGAGGTTAGAGAGAGAGTAGTGAGATAAAGCAAAAGATTCAAATGGAAGCTTAGAACACTTTAAATAGTGTTCGGGATTTGGACACGGTGGAATTCTACACGATACCAGCGTTAGACGGGGCTTTTGGTCGCACCCGATCATGTTGCCGTAACTCGATATGGTTGATTCTAGAAATGTTCCGATCACTAGAATGGGGTGTTAGAATGATTTCTAAATGTACTAGAATACCCATTAAGTCATAATATAAAATACACATTAATGACTTAATTAAATGAGGGAATCGGAAACGAAATTGGAAACGGCGATTGGATTATCGAAATGAGTTACAAAAAGGGTTACAAGCAGTGATACAAATTTCAGGTTGTTACAACGTTTTAGTAATCGAGGCACTCGCTCTACAGATTTTCCTCGAAGATCGAATGGTATATAAAGATTTTGAAGGTTCCTCTCTCATTATCACTTTCAAAATCCTCTTAAAAGATTTCCGGTGTTCAAATTTTTAATCGTTCATCTTCTTTCTCAATCTTCAATAATGGTTGCCTCGTCATCTGGTCATGGTCAAATTGCTCACTCTACTCTTCTGACCGCCAAACCCAACTAGAACATGGTCATCGATCTGGAAACCTGCAAATATGATCCCTACCTGTTGTCGATTCTCGAGTGCCTCATGTATTCTCCACTAGTTCATGTTGTAACAAAGATGGAGGATGTCCTGATGTCCCTATTGTCCAAGACATACTCTTCTATAAGTTATATCAAGAAGGAAAGCAAAATCATCTTTAACATTCATGAGCAGAAAACCTCAATCACAAAATCCAGATTTTGTTCACTTCTAGGGCTTCCTCAATATGAATAGATGATCAACCTGGAATCTATCTCCAATGCAATTCTATTGGAGATGTTCTATCAAATGGGGTACAAGGAGACCCTATGTGCAGTCTTCCGTAAACCTAATCTACCCCCTCAATGGAGCACTCTCTTTACTCTTATTTTCAAAGGGTTTTCAGAAAGGGTTACTGGTTCCGACTGTTCCAGTAAGTTGTTCTTGACTATACTCTATGGAAATTATGAAGGGTTGAATGTCGACTTTGGAGTGGTACTCTAGGCTCAGGCGATACAAAGCACATGCTCAACAACTCATCACAGTGAAATTTCATGTGCACGATTCTGGTCTCTTATTGTTCGAAGGGCAATCGTTAAGCTCAACATTCCAGTGTTACAGGGTGCTCTAACTTTTACTATCTCAACCTTCCATAAGACAGGCATCATTGTGGCTGATAACTCAAAATTTTCGTTCATTGATTCCATTCCATAGGCTATGTTTCATGACGTACCAGCCTCTAGCAAGATTCTAGAAGGTTATCGCAAGCTTACTCGTTCTGGGTTTCGTCCTCTTACTCTAGAAATGCAAGCAACAATGACGAACTCAAGAAAAGGGTTGAAAGGGTGTGAATATAGGGGAAACGAAAACTGCTATCAACGAAGGTACATCTACCATTGTGAAACCTCCTTCAAAACGAATGGTACCTCGACTACTGCTCCTAAAAGGCGAAAGCAACCTGCTCGCAAGAGAAAGACCCCCACACCAAGTGAAAGCGAAGATGCTTCTGATACTCAGTCGGATATTGGCATAGAAGAGGATCATCCAATTCACAACGAGGAAGTTCACAATGAGGATGTTCACAATGTAGATGATAACATTCACAACGAAGAACAGGCATCCAATCATGAGGTAACTCAACATCTTAATGATTCTATTCCTTCTCCTCCTCCATCACCTAATACCACTACAACCCCAATCACTATTTCTCCTTGCCCTCCACCAGTTTCCTGACAACAACATACTAGTATTCCTCTTTCTGCTCCTTTGTTTACATATTCTACTATCCCACCAACCACCTCCACCGAACCTTGTATTTCGGTCAACGTATCAGATACTGGGGCTAAAAAATCAGGTTTCTCAACCCATGTCTCACCTCTTATTTCCCCCATTCACAAATATGATCCACATATGGTCTATGGGGATGATGATGATGATATTGATGAAGCTCTCAGAGGATTCACCTACAATACCTTCCAAATTAGGACTGAAAGTGAGGACGAGCCATCTGCTACAAAAGAGAAATTAAAGTCCCCGAATGAAAAGATAGACCAACTGCTTCTTGCTTCCAAGGCATCATCTTCTGATGCTTATTCTAAAGTTTCATTTAAGTATGTATTTAAACGCATAACGAAATAGCATGCAGACGATGCATAAAAGATGAATAAGGTTATTGGTGATTATGCCGATGTTTGTAAGCTAACGACCGAAAAAGTAGATAAACTAATTTCTTAGACCACTTCGTTCATGGAGAACTTTCAGGCAACCTTCAACAACAACACAAAGAATGCCAATGAATCTATACATAGTCTGGGTTCTCTCTTCAAAAACGAGATGGCTAAGTTACATGAGATTCACACAGGTCTTCAGTCTGATCATGAAGCCCTTCAAACCTCTATCTCTTCTAAGATTTTCAACCTTTAAAAATAACTGGAAACAGAGAGTAAAATAATGTACACTCTTTCCATCAAAACTGAAAGAGTGAATGTTCTCTCAGTTAAGCTCGAAAATGCTGAGAAACAGGTTCAAGATTTGCTCACTGAGAGGGCTATAATAAAAAGTTGTATATCTTATATTACAAGCTTACTCTCAGATGTCAATGAAACAAGAGAATGCATGATCACCATCTCTGTCCGAAAGCATCTAAATGAGAAGTTGATGCCAATATTCACAATGCTTCACAGACTGCAGGGTGTTTCGGATCAAACCTTTGTTCCAAAACAAGGGGGAGAAGGTGGGTCAACTATTATGACAAGAAAAGAAGGCCCTAAAGCTCCAACCAAGCCAGTTGTCAAACAAGAACCTAATGGCAAGGGAAAATTGTTTGGAGATGAACCCATCGTTGACAATAGTGAAGATGAAGGGGAGCTAAATGAAGACGAGCTCAAAAGACGAAAGGTCCACAAAACCGAATTGGATGAGAACAACCGAATAATCCGTGAGGCTGAAGAAAAGGAAATGGCTGATGAAGAAGCTCAGGCCACGCTTCAGAGCATAAAGATTTTGTTTCCTAAGTGGAACTTGAAGCGAATCAAGAATGATGCTGTTGATCTACCCAGTTAGTATTGGTTAGAGCCACTTGTGTCGTTTGATCTTCAAAACACACAAGATTTGCAACTGGATATACCAATCACTCCCAAGGCCTTCAGGTTTTGCGTATTTGTGAAAGGTTCAAAAGCTCTAATCACAGAAAGTGGAGCAAACCATATGTTGTTTTCTTTCTACCTGAAGCACATGAAGTCCTAATACGAAACTTGGTGTGCTAGAAAAATAAATGTGGTGAAAGTCATAGGGGCGATCAAGACTGATAGGTTTCCAAACACGAAATTTAAAGTGGCGAGAGATTCGAAGAGTCACGTCTATGAATTCATATTTGCATACTTGCCTTGTCTGAATCCTTATGGATGGATCATACTAGATAACATGTTGTTGAAGGAGAAGGAGAAGTACGAATCTGTCATGTCCCAAATCTTGTTGCAATCTTACATTCAAGAGATTGGTGAGATGGATGTCAAGATAGTTGTGGTACTGCGAAAGAAGCCTTCTATTGTTCCTGAAGAAGCTCCGAAGGATTTTGAAAAGCTGAAGCTAGGAAAGATTTATAAAGAGGGATGATCCATGGTGTATGGGTCTAGAGAAAGAACTGGAGTTGACTTTCGCAAGTTTTGCTTCTCTCATTCTGAGAAAAATCTATACACTACTTATTTACTTCAATTTATTTTGGACTTAGTGACAAAGTTCAAGGGTAACAGTAAGTAGGATCATAAGTGCTTCTCTGACATGATCTTATGGTACATTCGCATTCTCAAGCTGTTGGTGAGCTTCATTCCGAAAATATATGAAGTGCAGAAACGAATTCTAGGATAATTGACTTTTGCCTCAATTGACGCAAAGGGGGAGATTGTTGAAGATTATATGTTGCATCATTGGGCCCTTTTGTATATGCCTATTATGTAAACGAGTTGGGCCTATCCTCCTGTAGTTTATTCTAGGTTAGAGTGTTTATGGTGCATGCATGCATCTTATTTTAGTTAACTCTGATAATCACGCTGTAACCCTAATCATGCCTCTACAGTTGAAATTCTTCATCGAGTTCTTCTGAGGTGTGACGCTTAATCATTCGACATTCTTGATTCATCATTGCATTATTTCTTTTACTTGTTCTGAATCTGATCTATCCTTAAGGATTATAATCCTAACACCATGCGTAGGTGGGACCGTACTCTACAACTTGCGTTTAGACTCAATTTGCTAATTTTGAATTTATTTTTAAAGTTATAGATCTAACTGGCCAGGATAGAAAAAGTCCATTAAAATTCATAACTTCATCATAGGACTGCCATTTTTGTCTATATTTTTATTGTTGGGCTACTATTAATGAGATCTTCGATTCTCTTTTAGGTTGTGTCGGATAAAAGTCATTTGATCTTAAATTCGAACTGCGGGTTGCATACTGTTAAGCCAAATCATAGAAAATTCATAACTTCTTCATACGAAGTCAGATTTGGGCATTCTTTTTATACACACTCTCAGTTTAATGTATACTGCGACTTTCATTTAGATCGTTAAGCCTAAAAAGCACTTTATCGCAAACTCACTTTTTACGTCACATAATGTTGTGTTGGTTTTGTCGCGAAACTTCAACAAGTCATAACTTTTTTTATAACTAGGATTTTCATGTTCTTTATATCTCTAGAATCCTTGACAGGACCATTACAATTTTCATCATAGATATCGAGTTTATCTAACATTTTATTTTTGACGCTTATTTTCATTCTTAATTTATTATATTATTATAAACAAGTATAAAACACATAAATTCACATAATACTCAATTAATTCATTTTTATTACTGCAAAATAAGTTACATATTTTGAACCTAACTATTATATCATCACATCAATGCTTAGCCTCGAAAAACACGCGTTACATAAATCATTTCATCTAGTTCAAGCTTATGAGCTATGTAGTTTTGAGGTTAAATCAAAATGACGCCATATTTGAATGCCAAGAATTCTCCAAAATAATCTAGTGTCTTGATCCCTTTCAAGATATTTCCAATATATGTATAAGGACTTGAAACTTTTAACATTATTTTTATCTATCCCTTATAGATTTTACATTCCAAGAATGTATCTTTCCTTCCTAAGCCTTTCATTTTAGAAGCAGTTTCCGAGTCAAGGTGAAAACAACCTTACTTAGTCTGAATGTGGTTTTAAATGATTAAGTATGTCTCACTCATACAAGATTAGGAGTTAAGGTGAAAACAACCTTCACTATGCTCCTACTAGTTCTTAGTAAACACACATGTTCTATTCATTTTAATATAAAAACACACCTTGTGGTTTTACATAAAATGATGATTATAACATTTAGATGTTTTCTTTATATCCACAAGTGGATCTCAATCCATACACATTTTGTTAGGATAACATGGATTAAGAAAACCTCCAGGCTAATCTATGTAGATATCTTCTAGTAGATGTCTATTAAGAAAAAGCGTACTTTCATGAAATCTATTTACTATATATCATATTAAGAATATGAATTTATAGTAAACAATATCCTTATTGACCTAGTCATAGCTACTTGTGAAAAATGTTTGATCACAGTCAATATCATGAGCATTATGAGGACCATAGTCAATGACAAGTGTATGAGAAAATCCTTTTATAACAAGTCTTGCTTTCAATGTGTATGGTTATCCATACAATTTATTCTTTATATAAGAATTATTTACTCCTTCTAGCCTTGCTATAGGGATAAATTTTAATCAAGACGATACTTGATTCTTATACATGGATTTGATCTCATATTCATGACTCTAAGTCATTTATCATATTCGAGACTTGACATAACATCTTGGTATTTGATGGATTTTCTAGAAACCATAAATAAAATCTCATCAATGAGAGTTTCACATTTCTCAACTCATAAATGATTTCTACCATTAATGCGAACAATTTTTGTTTGTGAATATGTATTATTCAAGTTTACCAATCCTTTTTAAAACTAGTGTCAACTCTTACTACATATGGTTATGGTTCTTGAGCTGCTTCAAGTTCCATGTATCTCCCACTTGCTTTGTCAATGGAAGCTTGCTTTCTACTAACTTAGCTTTCACAAGAATAAGAGGACTTATTCTTGGCGGGTTTGCATATAACAATCTAAGCCACATTTAGAGTATTATACAAATATATGTTTAGTAGATTATGGGTTTAAAGGCTTCAGTCCGGTAACGACTTCAAATCCATAAAACGTTAAGTAAGATGAAGATGGAGCCTTTCTGTAACGTCCTAAAATTCAAGACTAAAAATTTCTTTTATAAAACATTACTTAAAACATAATTATCAATCCATAACATAATCAGAGTATTTATTTCGAAAACACATGTTCATTATCAGTGTAAAACATCCCAGGCTAACTAATCTATGGTGCATGCCATGCGATTACCCCAAGCTCTTCCCTCCGCTACCGGAAGTACCTGAAACAAAAACTGAAAACCATAAGCATGAAGCTTAGTGACTTCCCCAACCTACCACATACCATGAATAACCACATACTGCACATACTGGGCCACACCCTCTATTCTGGGTCTCGCCCCTACCTCGTGCCTCGCCCGCTACAACGGCCCTGCCTCTCCAAGTCTCACCTGACTTCGAGCCCTGCTCGGATACAGATCTGTTTCACTTAGACCTCGCTAGTCACTAGGCCCCGCCCACTAACGTATAATAGCACAAAAGCATATAACAACACATAAGCTAACATATACTAATAAATCTTGTCCTTACGCCTCGCCTATGTTGGGCCTCGCCCTTGTCCTGCTACTGATGAGTCATGGAACCCCGTCCATGCCCCTACTGGTGGTGAGATACGGGCCCAGCCCACACTAACTCTTTCCCTAACTTTGGCCTTGCCCCTACTCTACTACCAATGAGATGTGGAACACCATCCACACTCTGTAATTGGTGAGATGCCGGACCTCGCCCACACTCACCTCCCTACTAGGCACATACAAGTATCACACAGACAACAAGTATAAACTATCACATAAACCATTCCTTGGGCACCCGCCCGCTGTCATTGGACCTCATCTTGAATATCATACTATCATATTGTGCCTAGGGCTAACCCCCGGGTCTTCTACTCATAACTACATGGGCCGGCATTGTGGCCTTAGACCCATTTACACAAAGGGAAACTCACCTGCACTTGTTGAACTTGTTGAACCCCTCTGCTGCTGCCCGACAACTCTTTTGAACTGCGGCCCCACTAGCTCCCCGAGCTATCAATACCAATATAACACTTAGTCAAACTTTCCTCCAAAATTCAACTAAGTCAACTCTGGTCAAAGTCAAAGTCTTAGTCAAAATCAACCTTCCAGGTCAACCCTACTTGTTGAGTCTTCCTACTGACTCGCCGAGTTCATATGTTCAGAGTCCTTCCATTCGCGACTGGACTCGCCGATTCAGCCCCTGACTCGCGGAGTCTACCGATTTCCGACTCCTGACCTGTCCAACTCACTGAGTCCCCACTCAACTCACTGATCTGAGTCTTAACTTGAAGGGTTTGGGGTTTCACGACTTCACTCGTCAATTCCAAGAACAGACTCGCTGACTCCAAGGATATCTTCAACAGCCTCGCCGAGTTGTTCTTCCAACTCGCCGAGTTCCTGCCCAACTTCATCCAACTCGCCGAGTCCACCCATGTGACTCACCGAGTCGCTCTACTTCTTAATCCATTAAGTGGCTTTTTGAGCCATGCAGGGGCTCCAAATCATAGATCCATACTTCCTAAGTCCGTTCCCCATGTAAAGTTGAAAACTTTACGTATAAATAAGGAGATCAAGGCTCGATACTCTACAAACTAAGGTTTAAGACAAAGAGGTTGAACAACCAAACCAAAGGCTGATGCTTTATGACTTTCTAGGCCAGAATACATTTAGATCTGAAGTACCAACTTCAGATTTGGGCTTCACTCGAAATGATTCAAGGACATGGCATAAAAGCCCCAAAATTCATAAGCAAGATAGATCTAGATGCAAAGGAGTCCAAGTACTAGTTTATTACCTCCAAATGCTCTAAAATATCTTCCCAATCTCGGATCTATATCCCCTTCTCGCACCTCCAAGATCCATCTTCCTTCTCCAAGCTTTAATGCACTCTTCAAGGCAAGAATTAACCCAAAAATCGGATATGGTGGCTAGGGTTTGGTGTTCTGGGTTAGAGAGGTAGTAAAGGAACCCTAGGGAAGAGAATGTGACGTTTAAATAGGCTCCAAGTCCCGAATTTAGGGTTTTCCTCATTCAGACCAGACTCACCGAGTCCCCTTTGCTGACTCGCTGAGTCGGTTACTTAATTGATCCCCCGGATCCCGCTCCGACTCGTCGAGTTCCTCCCTGGACTCGACGAGTTGACCCTTTGACTTAGGTTTTCTTTCCTCTCTTGACCTTTCTGATTTTGGGTGTTACAACTCTCCCCCACTTAAACTAAACCTCGTCCTCGAAGTTTGCTATGGCTAGCTGTCCTGCGAACTGCCTCCAACTCTCTATTTGGGAAAACTAACACCCTAAACCTTGCGGACTACCTCTGCTGGCCTTCCGCCCGGTTGCTTGG